AGCTTATATATCATCCTGGCTCAGTGCCAACAAGAAGAACCAGGTCTTCAGAGCCTTCTTAAAGGCTGGCAGGGTTGGGGCCAGGTGAATCTTGCCTTATCTTTTCTGCTTGATTTTAAGATTCTTTAGTTTTATTCAAACAAAAAAGTGTGTCACATCTTTTGGCATTTAATTAATTAAATATTACCACTATTGGTTGTTTGGATACAATAGGCTTCACTCCACTCTCCAGTTTTATTCAGGTCTTCAATAAATACTTGAGCCTTAAGGCAGTATGTTGTTCCAGGATACAGGCCAGATATTACATGGAAAGTGTGCGGTGCATTCTCATTGATAACCTAATTGGAAACAACAGAAAGTCACAACATGAAACTGACAAGAGTTTTGTTTTCAATTGACAATCTCCATACATTTCTATTGCTAGAATTCACAACAGCCTTTCCCAAACCAGATATCTTCTAGATCAATTTCTACTTTCTTAGCAACGGCCATGTTTTTGGAGAATTCTGCAACTTGGACTCCACACACCTGGAGGGTGCCCACGTTAGAAAAGCTGTTCCAAAAATATGTTAACTCATGTTAATGTAGCACTAGAGTCACAATGATGAAGCACTGAACAAGCATGCTAGTGTAACCCTAATACTGTCTTAGTACTGCTGCTGCAAGGAAAAAGAATGAGCCAAGTCAGAGATATGACTTCACAGATGCTAACTTATGTGCAGATTATTTTAAAAATGTTTTCTAAGGCAAATTATTTTTGCATTTTTTTCAGGGAGTGTTTCTTCTTCTATCTTTCTCCATGATCTTCAATAACTCAACTATGCTGCTCCTACATGTTTTTAACATTCCTTAACATGCATCATTGATAACTATTAACAGTTATTTTTTTGTCTTCACCTAATTCACAATCCTATGCCTGGAAGCTTGATGGATTCTGCCCTGCTCCCAATGAACTTTGTTTTATGTCACAGCTTAAGGTTAGAAAAGGAAAAGAATCTTGTCTCCTTTCAAGCACAGAAGCAAAAAACTAGATCAGGAGAGGGGAACCTATTTTGGTTCAAAAATCAACTTGGGAAACTATCACAGAGGCCATTTACCTGCAATGGGCATGACCACAGCCCAGGTTAATAAAGCCATCTCATAACAGGCATGTGGTCCATGCACTTACATGCAACATGTTCCCATCCACTCATCCAAGGTAAATTCTGAGTCTGGAGAACACTGATTTGAGAGAGAGACTCTAAAATACCTTATACTTTTTTTTAGAAGTGATTACTCCCACTGGAACTGCTTTATATCGTTATGGAACATAATAGGGGAGAATAGATTTCCTTGCTGAAAACTACAGTGATGTGGTTATCAGACCACCATAGAAGTCAGTCTACACCCCTTATCTTTTTTTTTAAATAGTAATTTTGTTAAAGATTATAATTACAACACTAAAAACTAATACAAACTGAAAAAAATTAAAATAAAAAAAATAGAAGGTGCAGAAAAGAAAAAAAGGAAAGAAATAGAAAAGAAAGAAAAAAATAAGAATCTAGAAAAAGAAAAAGAAAAGAAATAAAGAAGTGACTTCCCACCTTCATCACAACAAGTATAAGCAATTTTAGTAATATCACCTTCTCTTAAAATATAGCAAATGATCCCTTCTTCCCATATCCCATCTCTTATCTATAAACAAGTCCATAAAGCCTTGTCATTTCAGTCCTGATGTCATCAGAAGTCCATTAAGGGTTATCAGAGATAACAACCTATATATTTTAACCTTGATCAGACAAACCAACTTCCTTCTACTTCTAACAATCTTGAATCATTATCCCTTCAAATAATGTCGTAGAACTTGATTTCATTTTTTTCTTTTTCCCTTCTCACAAAATTCTTCAAAATTTTAACAAGCCTTTTTTGTAAATCCAATATAGGAAAATTATCCAGGTCACTCTCTTGGTTTGTTGTTTGTATATCCCTTTTAATTATTAACACATCAGCCAAATGTCCATTGTAACATCTTTAACCATGTCATTCTTGTAGCCTGCCATTTTTAAATCCACTTTCAAGTCAGTCTTGATCTTGTCAGGTAGAACTTGTTCTTTTAGACACAGTGTATCTATAGTGCCAGACACTATTAAAATTAACTTCTGGGTCCATTGTTCAAAAATATCCTTCAGTATGCCCAATGTTAAAATATTTTGCTTTATTCTGTAATTGTAAATTGAGTTTAAGTGTTCTTCTCTTTTAACTGTAATCTTTAGTTCCTTCTAGTGTCCAATTTTTAAAATCTTATCTTATTATTTTTTAAAAATCAAAACAAAACAGCATTTTCCCATGGGAAGATTCTTTATAATTAATTCCAAAATTTTATTTCAAATTTATCTGGATCCTTAGTCCATTTGTAACTTTCCAAAATCAAAGTTTTAATCACTGTTTTGCTGTTTATTAAAAAAAAAAAAAGGTTTTCAGAGTTTTCCTGTATTTGTTTATGCAGAGAAGTGTATTTAAGCATCAAAGAAACCCACTTCCACACATGTTGCCAAGCATTACCTGTTCGCTATTGTAGTCTTTCATCCAAATTTTCATCTTGTAATCTATCGAAAAATAAAAATCCTTCAAGGAATATATGATACCACCAAGTATAACAGAAGGGCTTTTGAGATGCACATTCAAGACTCCAGGTTTTGTGGGTACAATTTGTACAGTAGGAGGTATAATGATTGCTAATTGAGTTGAAGAAAAGAAAAGAAAAAAGATTCACTTTTACTCTGTTTTATAATCCATTTAAATATTCGGCATGACATATAATTGTCTTTTTTCCTATTTACTCACTAAAAACTTTAAAATGCAATTGTATATTTTTCATACTTACTCAACAACAATTACTCAACAAATAAATATTCCAGGGAAGCAGCACACAATGTACTTTCCTTTACATCTTACTTCCTATGCCTCCCTGCCTGCCTGCCATTTTTGAACTGATCGGTTTCATTTTCCTAAAAATGCTAAGCGGTGGCCCTGAATTTTTAGGTTTACTGATCTGTGCATTTATTAATTTTTTCCACTGCAGAAGGTTTTGGGGTTCCCCTACTTTGTGACTGGATTTTGCTGCATATGTGAAGGAAAGTGCATTAAAAAAGTCAACACATGCAACTCTGATGTGGAGTGATTCAGTCTTATCCAAGCATAGCATTCCTCAAATGCAATTATTAATATTAGCTTTAGAAAAATAATCAGCAAATGGCTACCAGACCAAACCTACCATCTCTCATAGTTTCTCAAAACATTGTGAGAAAGATGCATAGAAAGAGTTTCATGCCTATTAACCTCAAAACAATGTAAGAACAAAAATATTGTTAAAAAGTGGAACAATTATAAATCTGCTTTGGAATGTATATGTGTGAGTTCAAAAAGCAAGTTGCTAAAGTAGTATTTGCTAAGAAAACAGGCTTTTACAGAATGTTTTTTTTTTTAATCGTGTGACCACGATTCGCTAAGGTTATGGAGATCTGGATAATCTTGTTTTCACTGCTTCTTGCATCTTTTTTTTTATTATTAGAAAAAGGTTCAAATGAAAAGAAAAAGAAAAATAGCTGCATAGTGTATTTTGATCCCAGTTTAAGTCAAACTTTTAAAAAATCCAGCATGCCAAACTACACAATAGGCAAAACATTTTCTGAAAGCAATGCAAGCAAAAGAGCAGAATTCTGGCAACCTATTATCAAAGGAAATGAACACTGACATTTTATTAATAAGCAACAGATACCCATTTTCAAAACAGTTTGTTTATCTGGAAAAGGTATCCCACTGAATATGCCATCAACTGCATTTGCCTCCAAGATTGACAAAGGTTTGGCTTGAAATCCTATATCAGATTATATAGCTTCCATAGCAAAATGTGTTTATTAACTTTTTTTGCTGCTACCAAGAGGTTGCTAAACACTATGACTGTGATCTTGCATCTTCAATGTACTCAGTCAGTTCAGTATTTGGCCTGTGCATGACTTTCCTATTTAAAATCTAGTTTGCTCTGTAAGAGTGATTTATACATTATAGATGTAAGTTGATTTAGAATTAAGCACTTATAGAACTTGTACGGCACTGGGAGGGACTGGTTGGAAATCGATGAATTTGAAGGATCTTTCAACAATATAACAGTACATAATTCTACCTCCATATCTGGAATTCTGTCTGTCTTTACACTTTAAACAGAGAGTTCCAGGAGCCGTTCTCTGTGCTACAGTATCTAAACTGATTTATTTGCTCAGTTCAGATGTCACTGAGGCCAACAGCTTTGCCAGATTTGATACTTTTCATGCCATTTTCTAGTTCCCCCATGGTAAAAGGATATTTAATATATTCATTATCTTAAGTTCTTGCTATTCCATTTTTCTTTTCTGTAACTTCTGGAGATTTACTGTTAAGGAGCAGTTGGTGCACTACTTGGTTGTTACACTGTAGCACTATTTCATCTTCCTTGCATCATTGTTCAACTTTCTAATAGTGCTCCAAGCTTTCTTGATGTTGTGGTTCATGCCTGAACCCTCATTCATTTCCTGCCATGTTCTACATTGTTCTTTAACCAGCATAACTTACAGAGATACTTTCTACCCAGGAGTTGCTGTTGCATAAATATCATAGGTAATAGATATGTGAAGTATAAGTCCTTTTCTATAGCCACTTGGTAAACGTTCTCTTGACCTTTAACAAAGTTCGTTTTCTCCAGTTTAATATCTGCCAATACTAAGACCAGCCTTGAAGTCCTGCCACTGTTTAATAGCTGAGCCCCAGAGAAGAGACATTTGGTATAAGAAGTGGGTAAACAGAAACAGAGCAGTATCAGAAGTATAGAATTGAATCTAAAACCAAGTTATTTACAGAGGCAATATTACTGCTCAAATCTATATTGTATCCTCCATTTCCGTTGGCAGGATAAGCTACTATGCTTGAGAACATGGTTCTTCTTGTAGCATTGTATATGTCAAGGATAATTCCTCCCCTGTTCCTGGGAGGTCTAATAGCTGAATCCCCAGACATATGGGCAAATAGGGGGGAAAAAACACCCTAAACTCCTTGGGAGCACTAGCAAGGTGGCATGTAAGCTTTGGGAGATAAAATGTATAAGAACAGGAGCTGGAAGCGAGAGAGAAGGTGGGTTCCTTTCAGGTTCTGCAGGGAACACTACCAGTGACAGAGGTAGGGAACACTACCAGCAGCCAAGCAAGCTGAGAAGGAGCAGTAACTGGATGTGTGGGGAGCCCAGATGATCCACAGTTGTGGAACAGAAACCAATCAAGGGCTGCCTGCAGCAGACTGAGGAGGTGTCTAAGAAGGAGTGGCAGAGAAGAAAGGAGCCAAAGCAATGCTGGAAAAGTCAGTCTTGGTGGTTCAGGTGCTGGTGAGAGAAAGTTTGGATTAGAAAAAGAAAGAGCAAATATCGTCTCTTTTTTCTTTTTGTTAGTTAGGCTTTCTCTCTTTCCAGCAGGGAAGGAGGGAGATTAGCATTCCAAAGCCAGCAATTAAGATAAGTGATTGTGAGAAAAGGCGAAAGCCATGTGCAAGCAAAGAAATGTTAAGACAGTCATCAACAGGTGCTAGATAAGTATATACCAGTCATTATTGTTAAGATTTTCTTTAGGTATTCACTTTTGCACTACAGCGCACTTGATACACAAAAATGTACCACATCGTGATTGTAATCTGTTGTAAATAAAATAAATGAAATTGATTGTTCTCTCAGCTCCATGTGTGCCTGAATCAGTTCCTATCTTTACCCACCCTTCAAAATACTGTTAAAATCTTGGGAGTTTAGGGTTCATTTAATTTACTTCTGCCCAGGTTTCCACAAACTCACCATCTCATGTCTCAATTTATCATTATGGTTGTTGAAATCTCCAACTAAAATTTGGAACTTATATTTTTCCATGCCATTATTTTACTGAAATCCAAGGTTGTATTGGAAGATTCATAAAATAAGATGAACAAGTTTTCGTTTTTATATCTCAGTATTATTATCAGTGGTACTGCTGTTATCTCAATACACAAATGTGGTCTCCAGAAAAGATATACTGCCATATTTTTAATGAGGTCTTTCTGTTACTAATTTTATTCCTGATATTCAAGGTTGATAATCAGTTCTTGTAAACAGTGTACTTGAAACCAAATTGTCTATATTTTTGCAGGTATATTTAGCTACTTCAGGGAGTTGAGAAGTCTTCGACATTATCTGAGAACTGTCATTGAGAAAAATCAGGAGGGAACTCTCTTTTCCCATTTCTGTTTTAAGGCATCTTTAAAATTTGCCTTTGTTTAATGGTAAACTTGGTGAAATCATATTAGTGGGTTCAGTAGTCAATGGTAAAATAAACACCCTGACTCCCAGGATTGCAACAGATACTGTCATGGTTCCCACAATTTGTTAAAAGCCTTGAAATTTCTTGAGTGTGATCCTTGGTAGTGCCCGTAATATAAAATCTAACTTTTGCAACAATTCAGCATACCCATTACAAGAGTGCCCACAGGGTATGATTAAAGAAAGTTAAGATGACGGCCATGACACCACAATTAAAGCTCACAACATTGATCACAATGTCATGGCTACCATCTTAATTTTTTCAATCATACCCTGCAGACACCCTGCCCATTGCTCAACTCCTCCCTTCCCCTATTCAGCACTTCTCACTTCTGTGTTCTGTTGAAAACTGAGGTTGCTGCTGTGGTTAGAAAGGGTAAGAACAGCTGGTTTTTAAAGCATTTTTTGTAGCCCAGCTGAGATTCCAGTAGGTAACAATATGCTTACTTTACGAGAGGGCTCCTAATTTTTTTTCTATAATAATCTTGCTAATTCCCTCCAGAAGCAGGTAACGATCTGGTTGCCCCCAAAAGAAGCTGTGAAGTCAAAAGGTTTTACGCAGCTTGTTTCTGTGGGAAACTCTGCCACTTGAAGCAAGAAAATTTTCTTCAATCTAGAACATGATACAGAAGACTAGTTGCATTTTGGATTGAGAATTAAGTAAGGCCTCTGTTAACTAAATAGAATATTCAAATTCCTCAGGAAAAATATGCTGATGTAAATTGCAAGTAAGGAAACAGCTTCTGTGAAATATTAACATTCTTATTTCCTTACTGTAACCTTTTCTGGGGAAGTTGGATGCAGGGCTTATAAGCCTTTCCTTCAGAAACCTTGTTAAAGCTATTCATTGGCCCCAATATTAAGACGGCGGGTCTTTATTAACACTGACAATTCTCTATTAAAGCGATCAGTGGCAAGTTTATCATCATTTATCTTTATACCTTACTAGAATAGCAAGTTCAAACAAGATATTCAAACCTGACATTTTAAAAAATAGCATCTCCTCATTATGACAGTTGTAATACTTTAAAGCCATTTGCGTTACAGTAGGGAACCAGAAGAATAACTTACTGTCCTCGAATGGTCTGAAGGTAAGATTTATCCAGTGAGACTGTTTATTCTCAAATTCAGCTCTAATTCTTAAATGAAAAAGACCATATGCAGGTATACTTGAAATATTGCACTCTGTGAAGTATATTCTTCGGCACAAGTCAATGAATTCCGACATAAAACTGTTTTTAAAAAAAGAAACAAAATCACGTATGAGAACAAACAGCTTTCTCTCATATGCTGAATAACAGTATTCATTTTCAGGGTTATCATACATCATCTGAAACATCTTATACCTATTAGAATCAATACGTGTCTATTAAGAAGTTCAGTTTTCTTTAATCAGGCTGAATTTCAGATACAAATGAGGGCTGAGTTTTAACCATTTAATTTGATAGTTTACTTGTGATATATAATATTACATAGAAAAATGTTTCCTTCTAATTTGTATTCTTTTTGATTGAAACAAACAACATTATCAAATAAAAATAGAAAAGAAAAAGG